CCGTCCCTGTCGCCCGGCTCACCCCTCCCCGCCGAACACAGAGGCCTCCCCCTGGAGGCCGGCCGTGACTCGGAGGCCCTGGAGCCCCTGAACCTGTCGTCGGGCTCCAAGACCCGGCCCCCGTCGCTGCCCCCCAAGGCCAAAAGGCCCAAAGGCCTGGACATCGCGGCGTCCCCGCTGGTGCTGTCCGGCTCCGACCTGGGCTCCATGGCCCTCAGCAGCCCGGCCCTGCCGTCGGGCTCGCTCACGCCGGCCTTCTTCACTGCACAGGTGAGTGCCTCCGCCACTGGCGCCCCCGCGGGGAGGGGGCCGCGGCGGTCCCTTCTGTCCCCAAGACAGCCCTGTGGCCGCAGACCCGTCACCATCCGCCGCCCCCCGTGCGCGTGGGAAGGGGCTGCCATCCCGCCCCGGGGTCGGTGTGACCCAAGGTGGACCACCTCGGCGTCAGAGCTGTCTCCACCGGGACTTCTGGGGAGGCCCTGGGCTCCATGACTTCTGGCGGTGACCCCGGGAGAGGCGACTGGCTCTGTGCGTGACACCGGCGGACACAGCTGCTGCATGTCACGTGGAGTGGGGCTTGGCTGGGGGTCCATGACAAGGACTGCGGCCCCCAGAGACGCGTCCCTGGAGGCAGTGTCCTCCAGGAGGCCCGGGCCATGGGGAGGGCAGGGCAGGCGTGGCGGGAGGGTCTCCATGGCCTGGGGAAGCGGCTCCCGGTCGGGCCGTCGGATGTGCTCACGGCTCAAGAGAGCCAAGGAGGGTGGCAGGAGCCCCAGGCCCCGGGGAGGCCGCGCCGTCCGCAGAGGCCAGAGCCCCGGGTGGGGGGTCGCGCCCCTGACCTGGCTCCTGGACGCCTGTGTCCTTGAGGGAGCCGGGCTGCTGCCCCCGAGCCAGGCCCGTGCCCGTGGGGCGGGTTGTGACGACGGGGACGAGAGGTGGCCACAAGCCCTCTGACGCCATCGCCAGGAGCTGGCGGCACAGGCGGGTGCCCTGGAGGGCGGCTCCCTCCACGCCTCCCCACCCCATCCCGCGCCCTCGTCCTTGTCCTCCCCATTCGTGGCCGCAGCGTCGGTGTGCGGGCATCACGAGGGCCAGGAGTCCTTCCACGTGTGGCCGAGGACTCTGCGCACGCGGGCCGGGTGCCCCAGACACGTGGGACAGGCCCCTCAAGGCACGTGTGCCGGCATCCTAGACACGCTGCACACGTGGCCTGGTTCGTCCCCACAGCCCAGTGGCGTGGCACAGGCTGAGCGCCACGTTGGAGGCAGGCTGGGCCCGGGAGTGTTCCCGGTTCCTCAGCTTGGGGGCATCTGTGGTGAGATGGCGGGGGGCCTCCCGCCGAAGGCCGGAAGCCTGCACCCTCAGTGGCCAGTCTCTCGAGCCCCAGGTCAGCGCTCAGAAAGCGCCAGGTTTACCGGCACTTTGGACTTGGGATTTCTGGATTTGGGGCGCCCACTGGTGCTGTCTCACCACCGTTTCCCAGTGGATGATAGACTCCAGTTTTGAAAGATCTCCTGTGAGTAAAATGCTCAACAGCATCACATGCGACAGAGAGAACTTTTGTGAAGGAAGGCTCCATCGTGCGCCAACTTCGTGGTTGCCTTGTTTGAAGACCCAGCCCTCAGCACCACCAGCATCGAGTAGGAGCTCCCACCGGCAAGATGACGATTCACGGAAGGCTCAGGTGACCGTCAGCAACGCCGTCTTTTTAAATGAAGGTGTGCACGCTGTTCTTTAGACGTATCGTGGTGGCTCGCTTAACAGGCAACAGAGTCATGTAAACATGGCTCCGTACCCTGGGAGGCCCAAAGCTGCGGGGCGCCCTGGGCCATGACGCCAGCTCTGCTGGGGTGAGCCAGAGCCCAGCCCGCAGAGTCTCCGAGGGCCCGTGCTTGGGGCCCAGATCCGGCCTTGGAGTCCTGAGCCAGACCGTGAGGTTCAGGACCCGCTGTCCGCACCCGCTGGTCCACCACCACGGCCGCCGTCTGCGTCAGAAGCCAGGACGCATGTCCACGGGGGCGACGTGCTGAGGCCACTCTTGGTCTTGAGTCTGTAGCCATCAGAGGTCATGCCCCCGAGACGCTCGCACCCACGGCCACGGGAAGCGGAAAAACACACAGGAGCCTGGTGGGGACGAGGACTGGTGACCGCAAGCCTGGTCCTGGGTCACACGGGCCCGTTGCAAAGGAGCAGGGCTAAGGGTGCCAGCTCCCAGGACGGGAGCAACCGAGGTGTCATCGCCTCCCGCCTCCCCAGCCCCGCCCCCACCAGGCCCCTGGCGGCCCGGGGGCCCCTGGAACCTCTGACCTGTGCTCTCAGCCCTGTTCTCCATCGCTGCTGCTCACGCCTGTGTAGCGTGGCAGTCACGGCAACTGGAGCTGTGCCTCTTGGCCACGGGAGCCACGGCCTCAGTGTGTCTCGGCCACTGAAGCCACAGCCTCGGTCAGCGCGTTCAGCCACTGAAGCCTCGGCCTTGGTCAGTGTGTCTTGGCCACTGAAGCCACAGCCTCGGTCAGTGCATCTTGGACAGTGAACCTCGGCCTTGGTCAGCGCATCTCAGCCACTGAAGCCTTGACCTTGGTCAGCGTGTCTTGGCCACTGAAGCCACAGCCTTGGTCAGCGCATTTCATCCACTGAAACCATGGCCTTGGTCAGTGCGTCTCGGCCACTGAAGCCACAGCCTTGGGTGGTGCATCTCAGCCAGTGAACCTCAGCCTTGGTCAGTGTGTCTCAGCCACTAAAGCCTTGACCTTGGTCAGTGCATCTTGGCCACTGAAACCACAGCCTTGGTCAGTGCATCTCGGCCAGTGAACCTCGGCCTTGGTCAGTGTGTCTTGGCCACTGAAGCCACAGCCTTGGTCAGCGCATCTCAGCCACTGAAGCCACAGCCCTGGTCAGTGCATCTCGGCCAGTGAGCCTCAGCCTTGGTCAGCACGTCTTAGCCACTGAAGCCTTGACCTTGGTCAGCGTGTCTTGGCCACTGAAGCCACAGCCTTGGTCAGCGCATTTCATCCACTGAAACCACGGCCTTGGTCAGTGCGTCTCGGCCAGTGAACCACAGCCTCGGTCAGCACGTCTCAGTCACTGAAGTCATGGCTTCAGTCAGCACGTCTCGGCTGACTGGAGCCATGGCCTCGGTCAGCGCCTCTTGGCTACTGAAGCCACAGCCTCAGTCAACGCGTCTCGGGCCCCGAAGCCACGGCTTCAGCCAGTGCCGTGCTCTGTGGGGCCCCAGAGCTTCCCAGCGGGCCCTGGCTGGCGTCCGGGTGGGGCCTGCTGCTGAGCTGGTGGTGCTGAACCCCTTCCTCCACTCCCGTGGCCACAGTGCGTGGAGCCCGTGGCCGCCGAGCCAAGGAACAGGCCCCTGTGGTGCACATCAGGGTCCGGCTGTCCCCCGAAGGAAGGGACTCCCTGGCACTCCTTGCCCCGTCGCACCCCGCCGGCCCACGGCACTCCACCCGCTACTCCTGTGGGGCAGAGTGGGTGCGGCCACCTGTGGGTGCCCAGGCCAAGGCTGCAGCCGCTGTGGGCCCCGTGGTGGGGCAGCCCTCCCTCTCCCCCTGCGCGGGCCGCGGTGGGAGCCAGGACCTGTGGAGGTCGCGGAGGATGTGGGCTCAGGGCCTTGTGATGCAGGAAGAGCGAAGTGCCCAGTGGAAGATCGGGGAGGCCCCTGGGGCGGGGGTGCTCGACGGCCAAGGAGGCAGGAAGGCGGCCGAGGAGCTGTCGGGCAGGAGGCCCGGGGTGGCTGCAGCTGGGCAGTGGCTGGGCCCCGCAGGGTGGCCTCCATGGGGCGGGAGAACCACGAGCGGGAGGCCGGAGGCGGCCCTGCGGTGGCCTTGGCCCGGGCACCCTGGCCACGCGTGTCAGGACAAGCCCTCGCTGGGGAAGGAAGGAGGCGCCTCGCCCCGGTGTCCTCCGCCTGGCCCAAAGGGTCGCGGGCTGAGGCAGGGAGGCCCATCCTGCCTGAGGGGACCCAGGCGGGCTCCGCGGAGGCCTCCCCCGAGACGCAGCCAACAGCTCTGGCTCTGGGGCCGGGTCCTGGGGGAGGGGAGGCAGGGCGAACCTTAGACGCTGGTCTCACACGCTTCTGGAAGGCTCAGCATGGGAAGCACAGGAGGCACGGAGGCCCTGTCCCCACACGCGTCCTGGGTCCCTGGGAGGCAAGCGTGCTAACACCTCCAGGCCAGGCGGGGCAGGCGGTTAGATTCCGGGACTGGGAACTCCCACCCCTCATGGCTCGGAGGACGGCTAGACCCGTCTCCTCAAGGCTCCGAGGGCCTCCCTGTGGGTATCTGGAGAAGGAGGCCAAGGCCTTGGGGGTCAGACCCCATCTCCTCAGGGATGTGGGGCCTCCCTGTGGGTATCTGGAGGCCCCCAGACCCCGGCTGGTGGACGTGGATGTGGCTGTTGTGTTCCCAGTACCCACACACCGAGTGTCTTAGGACATGGGACCCATCTACACAGTAAGCGAGTCACACATGCTCGTCACGGACTCATTCACTCATTCGTGGCAACACGACGGGTTCACTCTGGCACCTGAGCCCGCGCATCCTCTGTCCCTGGTGTGGTCTCGGCGCAGTCTCCTACACGAGCCCTCAGTGGGCACACGTGAGCTTGAGCCTCAGCCCACGCTCCCACAGCCCCAGGATGCAGGCACTTCTGATCTCTCATTTTCTGATAGGGAAACTGAGGCCTCAGGAGATCAGGCACGTGGCTGGGGCTACACGGCGGGTGGCAGAGACTCTGAGACTGGAACCTGGCAGGGCCTGTGGGCTGGGGATGCTTTGAGCCTGCCTTGGCCCAGGGCTGGAGGCTGCTTCCCGGCTGGGGCTGGTCCTGGTGCCTTAGAGGTGCCTGGATGCAGGGTATGTGGCTGATGTGGTCAGCACGCAGGCATGCCCCCCTTGGCAGCCCCGGGGGATCCAGGCGTCTCCTTTCTGCTGAGCAGAGCGGGCCTCTCCGTCAGGCCTGGCCCGGGGCTCCTCGGCCCGTGTGACCTGGGGCGGTGCTGGGGTGACACGTGGGCATCGGCGGGGCTGCCTGGGCTGCAGCTGGCACAGGCCCGACTGGCTCCACCAGAACTGCCAGGCCCTCCCCACCAGGGCAAGCCCACACAGGACCAGGAGCTGCCCCCCACGAGAGCCATGGCCCACCCAGCTGGCTATGAGTCCCGAGCCGTAGCAGCCCTGATCTGTGGCCACACACACTGGCAGCCAGGAAAGTGCCCTCCAAGTCCAGCCATGGCTGGGTGGGATTGGGCAGCCCGGCTCAGAGCGGAGCCTCGATGACAGTGGGCTGTGGGTGAGAAGTGGCGTGTGTGTGTGTGTGTGTGTGTGTTTGTGTTTGTGTGTGTGTGACATGGGTGTCTGCTGGGGCCAGGGGAGCAGTAGACCCGGCCTAGGCCTTTGCGCTGCCTGTGCGTGGAACCTGGCCCGGGCGGGAAAGGCCACGCAGGCTGCACACCTGGTTCTGCCAGGACGTCCAAGGCAGGTGCCGGTCGAGGCTGCCGTCCTCTGAGCGGTTCACACTGTGAGTGACACCGGGGGCCAGGGTCCGCATCCCCTGCCTGTGCCGATACCCGGCACGCCACCCGGCAGGCGGCTGGCTTGGGTTGCAGCCGAGCCTGTCTGCTTTCTCCCCAGACGCCCGGTGGCCTGCTCCTGACCCCGAGCCCCCTGCTGTCCGGCATCCACTTCTGGAGCAGCCTGAGCCCCGTGGCCCCGCTGAGCCCCGCCAGGATGCAGGGGCCCAACACGCTGTTCCAGGTGAGCGCACAGCTGGGGCGTCTCACCTCCGTGCTGCCGCGGGTGCAGGGCGGCCTGCCGTGGGCTTGGTGGGAATGTCCCGGGCTGTGGGCTGTGGCCCTTGGAGGTGGACTCACGCCAGGAATCCACACAGAACAGCTCACTCCTGAAGAGTGTGCTTATTTTCATCTGACTGTGGGAACAGGTCATTGATGAAGAGGCAAAACTTTAACAATCAGGCCTCTTTTTTGAGGCTTTATTGTTGGTAAAATCTCACAAAAGACACTATTTCTGTTTACTTATTTTAAAAAAAGTTATTTTCAAAACTTTTAAATTTTTTGTAGCAGTGGGGTCTTGCTATGTTGCCCAGGCTGTTGCCTCAAGTCATCCTCCTGCCTTGGCCTCCCAGAGTGCTGGGATTATATGCAACAGCCACCGTGCCCAGCCTCATAAAAATTTTTATTTTTTAAGTGTTTTAGTTTTTTGTAGAGACAAGTTCTCACTATGTTGCCCAGGCTGGTATTGAATTCCTGGGCTCAAGAGATCTTCCCTTCTCAGTCCCCCAAAGTGCTGGGATTACAGGTGTGCTCCACCGTGCCCAGCCGGATTTTAAAATAGTAACACGGTTGGTAAATGTGGCAACTCGAAGTAAAGTGATGAACAGGGGTGGTGGAGTGTCCCCACACCAGGGCGGAGCTGCCAGCATCACCCTCCGGGCCAGAGCCACGTGCTCCTGGCTCTGCAGTGAGAAAGGGGCACCGGGCAGCGGCTAAAAGCACGGCAGGTGTGGCTCCATCCCCTGGGGCCCCGCTCACACACACCAGACTGCATCCCGCCCGAGCCCCAAGAGACGCCTCGCCGGTCAGGGCGATGGGGGGGAGGCGAGCCCAGAGACAGGTGCGAGCTGGGACGTAGGCCAGCGCCTTGGCCCTCCCCTTCTGCCCATCTCGGCCCGCGCAGCCCCTCCATGTGGCCCCGAGCACCCCAAAGCCAGGCCACCTGTGGGTCCAGCGTCGCGGCTATCGGGTGTGCTGGGCTGCTGCCTGTCCACGGGAAAGCAGAGACAGCCAGAAGGGTCAGGGCTCGCCGCACCGGGCGCCTGGCTCAGAGTGATGTCTGCCAAGGACCCTCTGCCCGCTGGTGTGGTGCCTCGTGGGAGGAGCCGCACACATGGCTCTCGCGCCGTCCTGCCTCTGGCTTCCCATGGGGCTGGGTGTCAGGAGGTGGCTTATCCTGGACTCACCCACCACCCCTGGCCCTGTTTCCATAACAAGAGCCGAGCTGTGGTCACACACAGCCACCCCGTGGCTTTCAACCATGTCAACTTGGGCTGGAAAACAAAAGCTAGAAATAGCCCTGTCTGCTGGCTTTCAGCAGCACAAATGTGTTGGGGAGAATTTCCACAGAGAAGGCACGCCCTGCATGGGGGGTAAAACCCTCATGTCCAGACGGCTTGGGAGCAGGACAGAGTGTTCTAGGATTGAGGCGGTGACCTGGGAACACCGCAGGGCAGGGGCTGCCACGTGGCGGAGGCCTGTCGCGCCCCTCCTGCCTGGGAACTCTGCCCCCAGCTGGGGATCCTCACCTTCGAGGCCTTCACCGGCTCAGCACTTCCGACGTAATCCAGGTCATCATGCCCACGGTGGCTGCGCTCTACCAGGATCCCAGGCTGGGACACACATACACCCTCTCCTCAGTGCAAGTGTGGCCCGGCCAGTCCAGGCCAGGCATGGTCCCCGCAGGGTGTGCTGAAGACGCAGGGCCCGCCCGGGCTCCAGGCCAGCAGGTCTGGGCTGGACCCTCCCCGACTTCTCTCCTGTTCCTCGTGAGGCTTCTGGCTCGGCACCCAGGGGGGCGTCCGGCAGCCGCCCGCTCGACTCACCCCTGCAGTTCTGCAGAAGCTCGGTGCCCAGAGGCAAGCAAGGGAGTTCCTGCTCAGCTCCAGCACGTGGACCTGCTCTCCCGGGAGCCCCGCAGGACACAACCTGGCGACAGGCAGGCATGGTCCTCTGCTCGCTGATGGAAGAAACACCTTTACCTTGGAGACAGGACTGCTTGTCCTGGGAGAGAGCGGCTGAGTGTGCTCAGAAGTGAAAGCTGTTTCAGAAATGGGAAACAACAAAAGAGAAATCACACAGAGATTCCCGAAATTCAGATTACTGTCAGCAGTGTCCCTTTTACTCTTTTGTCCTAAAAAAAATTATTATTTATTTTTATTTAAAGACGGGGTCTCATCATGTTGCCCAGGCTGGTCTCAAACTCCTGTGCTCAAATGATCCTCCCACCTTGGCCTCCTAAAGAGCTTGGATTGCAGGTGTGAGCCACTGCGCCTTGCCAGTGTCCCTTTTAAACCAGTGAAAATAACTTACTTTTTGAGTTGGAGTCTCACTTTGCTGCCCAGGCTGGAGTGGAGTGCAGTGGCACGCTCACGGCCACCCCAGCACTGACCTGCTGGGCTCCGGCGATCCTTCTGCCTCAGCCTTCCAAGTAGCCGGACCTACAGGTGTGTGCTACCATGCCCGGCTAATTTTTTGATTTATTGTAGAGATGAGGTCTTGCCAAGTTGCCCAGATGGGTCTTGAACCCGTGAGCTCAGGCCTCCCCTTGCCTCAGCCTCCCAAAGTGCTGGGATTACAGGCTTGAGCCACCGCGCCCAGCCAACAACCTGCTTTCAGAGTAACAAGAAGCCCCTTTCACATACATGTGTTGGAGGAAGCTAAAAACAGAGTTGGCCTCTAAACTTGAAGCGATGTGGGCAAGTTCCTCACCAGGAGGGAGGCAGGTCGGAGCCAGAGCTGGAGGGACTCGCATCTGAGCCCTGCCCGCAAGATTGCCAGGGCCATCACCAGGGCGCTGAGGCCATCCTGCAGAGCCCGGGCCGGGGAGAAGACACCAGCCTTCCCGGGGAGGTGCGCCTCGCTGCCGAGGAACCGCAGTGGAGGACAGACGGGCCAGCAGCTGCGCGGAACTAAACACGGGCCCGTGGCTCACAGGTGACGTGGGAGCTGTGTGGCTGGGCCATGGCCGACTCTGCTGCACCACAGCTTCTGAAGAAGATTCTGAGCCCGCGGACTGTACCCAGTAGGGACACATCTTGAAACAAGGCAGAGCGGATCCAGCTTCCAATTAAGAACATGTCCTGTGATTGAGTTCCACAAACCCAGCCCAGCAAATATTTGCCGTGCTCTGCGTCCAGGACCGTGGGGACGGACCGTGTGTGGTGACAGATGGGAAACCACGTGCCAGGATCCTGCGAACGGAGCTGCCCTTGCCAGCTGGGGCTGGGTCTGGTGCCGGGAGGAAGCGGAGCCCGGGCTGGGAAGGGACAGGGTTTCCAGGCAGCAGAGCACGGCTCAGGCCGGCGGACCCACACGATCAGGGCCTGAGTCTGCTCAGGAAGGCACGGGCCACTGGGGGCCGCAAACGGCGTACCCAGGAGGGGTTCTGGCCTGCTAGTGTTGCTGAGGCTTCGTCAGCTGGAGGTGGGTGGGGCAGACCTCTGTTTCGGAAGAGTCCCCGTGACACCGGAGGGCGGAACAGAGGAGGGGCGGGGGGAGGGCGCTGAGGGGAGAGTCCCTGGAGCCTCGCGTGGCCACACAGGACATGGGGTGGACACTGCGACGGCGAGGCCGAGGGCAGACGTGGGCTGGGCCAGGAGCAGGCAGGCGGGAGGACTGGGAGATGAGAGCCCACGTGGAGACGGCGTCCCAGCCGTCCCCACCCCCGAGGCGCTTCCTGGCTTCTCATCTGGTGCTGCTGTTCGGTTTCAAAGAGAAGCGAGGCTGGGACGTGCTCGGCCGGCCGCCCTGGGCCATGCCGGCATGTCCCTGCCCTCACGCCCTACTCAGAGCGTGCGGAGCAGCTCCGGGGGACACGGGCGGGCCGGAGTCCAGCGTGGCGCCGCGGCAGAGATGTGGGACAGTCTGGGGGTGCGGCCGCTCGAGGGAAAGGGCCACAGCAGGCTGGAGGCAGTGCAGGAAGGCCTGGTCCGACCCCGTGGCCACCAGCGCACAGAAGTGGAGCAGAGGGCGGGATCAAAAGCAGAGACCCGCGGGACGGAGCCGATTCCGCTGGAACCGTTAACAAGGTGGACAAAACCCAGAACACGCCAGTCGGCGGGAAGAACGGAAATGCCACGCTGGCTCCGGCTCCTCTTCCAGCCCTGGGTTGGGGACGAGGCCCCAGCGCCCGGCTGCGACGCCATGAGCCGTGAGCTTCAGCCAGCGACTCATCAACCTGGATTTCTCGTCTGAAAAACAGGGCTCACAAGACTGATGTTCCAGCTCCCGGACAGACCAAGTGACAAGCCTTGATCAACCAAGGCACAAGACACAAGCTACTGAAGGTTCTTGAACACCACGGAAACACACTCACTTTGTTCCACCAGCATCTCGTGTATTTCCAACAGGCACCCGGCTCTGCAATGTGACGTTTCGTGCTGAAGCTTAGCATTTACCTGACCAGGACCGGACAGGAATGAAGCTGGAAGACGGCTTCAGCTGACCCTGATCCCAGACGATGAAAATTCTATCGGTGAGCCGGCACGGGTCACAAGGCGGCCTTGTGCTCTTCTTGTTCAGCTGGGATTAAAGCTGGCCGTTTGCTTCAGACCGGAAACTTGTCAATGTGCACACCTCTATCAACTGAGTTGACCGCCACGCAGAAACTAATTTCATTCTTTAAGCCTGTCACATGTGGGTGAGCTCTAAGTAAAGTCTGATATTATTCATCCTTTTAACTAGAAAGACGACTTTCTCAGCTCCAAAATAAAGATGGCGTTTTGCTTCTGAGTCTCTTAAGGTAAAAAGCACTCTTCGTTTCTAAGTTGCTGTGGGAATCGTCTCTGTAACCCTCCTGAACTCAGACGGCAAATCCCCGAAACAACAGTATTTATGCGAGGGGTGTGTGGTTTTCAAAATGTTTTCTTAACATTTAAAGCAAATCAGCATTCTGAGTAGCTCGCGACGTTCAACGCTGGTACCAGAACATGCTTCGGCGACCCGTGAAGCGAGTTCCTCCAGGGGCCTCCGCGCACAGGGTGATGCGCGGGGTCCCAGCCAGCGCGTGCGCCGCGTGAGCTCAGCCTGCCATCCTCCCGGTGTTCCGGACGGCGGACCAGCAGCCGGTGCCAGGGCGGGTGCCAGGACGGCCGCTGGTCGGCCTGGGGGTGGGACGCCTGAGCTCCCGCAGGGCTGGACGAACGACTCTCCCTCTCTCCCCAGTTCCCCACGCTGCTCAACGGGCACATGCCGGCGCCCATCCCAGGCCTGGACAGAGCGGCCTCCCCCGTCCTGCTTTCCTCGAGCTCTCCGAAGTCCTGATGACGTCTGGCCACGATCACGGACTAACTGACGGAACACACCTGTCCCCACGGGCGAGGTGCCCTGTGTCACGGAGGACACGCGAAGCCCTGTTCATGTGGTTTGCACTTTTCATAACACAGATATTCTAGACTTATGCCAGCATTTTAAAACTGGGGTTTTTTTTATATATTCAAGTATATATGGAACTCTGTTTTGCATTAAGTGAATTTTTAATGTTTTTGTTTTTATATCCTCTTAGCTCTTAAGTGTTGAACACTGTTGACAGTGGAGTTTTTTTTTAATGGTTTTCAGTATCACTAATAAGGATGTGAAGCGTTTCTCCTTGATCCCGCTTACGCTAACTGTGCTTTACTATAACCAGCTGTGCCTTCCTCTGCATTTAGTTCTACGTAAATGACTTCTATATTGTTTAGTGTTAAGAGAAATGGAAGATGGGACTTCGTGTCCCACAGCTCTGTAGTAGAATGTCCCTGTTTTTTGCAAGCGGGCGGCGTGAGCGCGCACTCCCGTCACTTTGCTTTCCTGCTTTCGGTTGTATACGGATTGCCTTAGAGCCACTTTTAAACCGAAACTCAGTAAACGTAATGTCCAAGTAATGTTTTTATAAGAATAAACTCAGCCATATTTAGACAATAAACATTCACCAAGCCAAATCCTCTAAAGTGCGTTTCTTAAAAAGCGAGCTCTTTGAGACTGGCCTCCCCGCCGTCCGCTTATGGGTTCGTGGGGACTCTCCCCAGCGACGCCCAGGCTGGACAGGCTGCAGGCTCCTGCCCTCGGCCCTCGGCTCCCAACTTTCCGCAGGACGCCCGGCGCGAGACCTCGGCGTTCGCGGGCGTCAAGCGCTCAGGCCCTGGCACTTTCTGAACATCCGGAAGCCGGATGCCTGGAAGAGCTCGCAGGCGGCAGCGACGCCCGGCGTGAGGAGTGGCTCCCGACACCCGGAGGCTCGTGCGGATGGGCACTCGCCGCGTGTGCTGGGATGCAGAGCATGCGACGGGGGCATCGTGCAGTGGGGCACGCTCTCCGTGTCCCTCGCTGGCGGCGAAAAGGAAGGAAACGGCGCGCTGGGGAGCCTTGCTGCAGGCCCGTCAGGGACCACGCCTGGGTGCGACAGCACCGGGGCGCGCCCAGCTCCAAATTCCAGGTCCGGTTCGTTATGGCCCTTAACTGCAAGGAGAAAAGCCAGTTGGAGATGTGACTAAACAGTTGATCCAAAATAGGCATTAAGTGGCAGGAACGACAAGCAAGGGTAAAACACGAGGTCTGTGAAAGCCAGTTTCTACATTTGAGGACACCCAGCATGCTGCTGGACGCATGCACACCCGAGGCTTCCCTGAAGGCAGCCTCTGGGGCTGTGCACCCGGGAGGGGAGGCCTGCATGTGGCAGCCGCACGCGAGCGTGCCTGACTCCGAAGCCAGGCAGGGGCTCTGAGTCCACGGCAGACACCGTCACCCCTCTAGGGCTTAGCAGCACCTCCGAGACACGGGGAGTGATGGGACCGGTCACCCTCCAGGGCTGCAGGGAGCAACAGGACCCGATGTGACCACCAGCGCCTAGGGCGTGAGGGCCACCAACCACAGGAGCTGCCACAGCTGGCCATGATGGGGCTCGTGGGCTCCATTCTCCCCACGCTCGCTCCGGGAGCAAAACTATGTGCTAGTAAAAACACAGAGCATCCAACATCGTGTTGTCAGAACGCATCCACATTCAAGATTCTCAGAGAAACTCAAGGAAGCACATGTGCAAACATCCTGGCCAAAAATGGGATTTTGAGTACCGTCTCTACCGCCATTGCGGACGGGAGCATTCACGCGACTAGAACGCTGGCTTTTGTTCTCCTTCTTCCAACCGCGACTGACTTATACCTAGATCCAGTTGTCAGAACTTCTGATGGGTCGAGACTCACTGGAACTCCCAGAGGTGCGGGGTGGAGCCTTTACAGTGCTGTCCCCGCGGGTGTGTTGAGAGAAGTACTGGTCCGTAAACAGGCTTCAGAGAGCATCAGATGACCCTCGTCCTTGCGTGCCTGCAGGCTCCGTGTTGGGCTGCCGCGGCTGGAGACTTGCGCGCTGTGCGGCTGAGCGCTGGTCTCTGTGCCCGCCTTTCCCAGGCTGCAGGTCTGAGTTCCTTTCCGTGTGTATGATTTTTAGTTATGTTTTGCTCAGTAAAAACTCTGTGATAAAGGTGTTTGGAGGCGAGTGGGATGGCTTCCGTCCATCCAGGCAGGACAACCCAAAGTGTGCGCTGCCACGTGCATGCAAGCCCAGCGATGAGTCCGCCCATCGACCCTTAAGGCTGCCACATGCCAACACTTGCTTTAAGTACGAGTCACAAAATAAACGCCATGGCAGAAGCTGACCTGGGTAGGGAAGGGTCTGAAAGGCGACCCGGCTCTTCGGTCAACAGCTCCGCATTGACGGGGAGGGGACAGCTAAGGTGCCCGCGTCCTTTCAGCCCTTGTGCTCATCGGAACCACAGGCAGGGCGGGAAAGGCCGTCCTCCCGCCTCACTCAGGGCCGGCCCCACAGTCTCCATCCCGGATTGCCGCGGGGCCTGGTGTATGCAGGGGAGGCGGCAGGAGGACGGTGCGTTGACGGAGGCCCCGAACACACACTCTGTGCCACAGCCGCACAGGGCGTCACGTCTGGAAGGGACGTTTCAAGTCCACTGTGTCCGGGTGCCCCTTCAGAAGTAAGGGCTGCCTGTTCCCAGAAAGGTAAAATGCTCGTCTGGCCCTGTTTACGCATAAACCTTCAGCTGGATCAGTTTGGGGAAAGGCCTTGCGGCGTAAGTGCCCGGGCGCCTCCTCACGCCTTCCGCGACCAGGCACCCCTGGCCTGCAGGGGGCACGTGCTCAGGCGCCTGAGGAGCTGGGCGTCCTCTCCTCGGGGGATGGTGTGACCTCGCGGATGACTGCAGCCATTCCCAGACCCCCTCACGGCCAGGCACTGTCCCGCCCACGGTCCTCCGGCGACTTCATCCCGTCTCCTCGGCAGCCCCACAGGGAGGGGCCGTTCCAGGCCATCTGGCAGAGGAAGAGATCGAGGCCCCGAGTGGTGCTGGCTGAGGTCGCGGGGTGAGCCCAGGTCAGACAGCACGGTGATCCCGAGACCGTGATCTTTACCTCCAGGACTTAAAGGCTGTGACCTGCCATCCCGGCCTTCACACAGACAGCCTGGCACGTGTGAGCCCCACGACACGCATGGTGGCTGCATCACCGTTCTCTCCGAGAGCAGATTTCAGTCACCGAGAAGCCGCCCAGCCTAGACTGCCCCGGTATTGATGCCGTCCCAGTCCCAGTCCCCGGTGGCGTGAGTGTGCGTGCGAGAACAGCTTAAGGACCGGCTAGTTCCCAAGTCTCTAGAGTTAGGGCTTTTAGCCTGCTAGGAAGAAAAAGTTCCTCTCACCCACTGTGGATTTTCCCATTTACCTTTGGGTCGTTCAGTGAGAATGAACACATTCAAGTTACGATGACATAGCTGGCTAGGCACGGTAGTACGTGCCTGTCACCTCGGCACTTTGGGAGGCTGAGGTGGGAGGACGGCTTGAGCCCCGGAGTTCAAGACCAGCCTGGGCAGCATAGCCAGGTGTGCTGGAGCACACCTGTAGTCCCAGTTACTTAGGATGCTGAGGGGGAATGACTGCCCGAGTCCAGGAGGTCAAGGCTGCCATGAGCCACGACCGGATCGCGATCACGCCACAGTACACCAGCCTGGGCGATGGAGTCCCTAACTCAAAATAAGAAAATTGTGTGTGTGTGTGTGTGTGTGTGTGTGTGTGTGTACGTTCACGTATGACACTGCTGACAACGATGACTTACAACTCGAGATTTCTTCAGGCACACGTGCCCCAGTCTGCCAACAAACACGACTGCTTCCCAGGCATGGGGGTCCAGAGGCGGGCAGGACTTACGCCCACCCAGAGCTTCCGGCTGAGCGAGGGGAGGGGAGTGAGTCCACGTCGCAGCACAGGGAAGGCTGCTGCTGGGGAAGCAGGGTCCAGGCTGGGGGAGCCAGCGGGCTTTCTGGAAGACACAAGTCTAGAAGCCGAGACCCCCAGCAAGGAAGAGCAGCAGGGCAGGGGGCCAGGGCGTGGAACGCGCAGAGGCGGCTTTGCGGTCGGGGAGCGCGCCGGCCGCCTGGGACCCGGGGCTGCAGCTCGCCGTCCTCAGACGGCAGCGCGAGGCCCGGCGG